CTCTTACTCTCTATGGAAGGTGTACAGGGGATACTGAAAGAACACCTTCCTTCTGGTCAGTGCAGAGTACATTGCTCTTCCCTCAAAGTTCTTTGCTTAAACCACTCCTTTTGAGGGTCAGTTGATGTTGATTTCTGAAGTGGTAATAAGATTACAAATGCTCACTTATAGGTGTTTCTCTCTCATTTCAGCAGGGGAATATCTAGATACAGCATGGGCTCTTTTGTTTTCAGAATGTGTATAGTCCCATTGGTGGTATGATACTATAACTTGCATATCTTTTCATGGAACTTTTCAAAGTGTTTGCTTTATTTCTTTTTCCCACAGGAAGCCAGGAATTCTCTCATTATGCACCTAATTTTTGAGTCATGTCTGTTGAAAAAAATATTGTTCCTTAAGCATTCCATTAAATCTGATATAAAAATGAAGGACTGTCCTATGATTTTTTACCACACTGGAAAAAAAACAGAAGATGAAACTTAAAGCATGTAATGGATTTAGAATCTTTATACTTGATTCATAAGACCTGAACTGGCTAACAGCACCATTTTTTCCTTCAGAAAACCATTTTCAGAGCTTTCTGCTTTAGGAATACAGATACAAATTATAGAAAGTATGTAACTTTAAAGAATTTAGAACTCAGTAGAAGAGGTGGGGAGAAGAAAGACAGTTCTGATAGTGAGAGCATGATGTGAAAAGGGACATTTTTCCAAATCCTAGAGTTTACAATTGACAAATCCATGAAGGGAACCTGCATATTTCTAACCTATGCTAAGAGTGTTGAGAAATACAAAGTAAATTTTAATTCAAGCATTGATCCCTAATATTTCACAGCCTCCTTAAGAATGTATAACAGTCAACAACATAAACGTAATAGCAGACAGAGTATGAGACTCTGAAGAAACACTACAGTTCATTGAATGCAAAATGATGCACCTGCATTGTGCAGGAGAAATAGTTTGGGGTTCAATCAGTCACTCAGTGATGTGAAGATTTTGAAGAACTGGAAGAACTACAAATTCAGTTGCCATCATGATCCTTTTCTAATCCCAAACTCATTAAAAGTGAAGATGAATTTCTTACCTCTTGCAGTCATTCAATGTTGAACTTCACACTGCCATTTTAATTAAAAAATTTTTTTAAAGTTCTGGAATACATGTGCAGGATGTACGGGTTTGTTACATAGGTAAACATGTGCCATGGTGGTTTGCTGCACAGACCAACCCATCACCTAGTTATTAAGCCAAGCCGGCATTGTCTCTTTTCTCTAACGCTCTCCGCCATCGCCTATCCTCGTATCTGGCCCTCATGTGTGTTGTTCCCATCCCTGAGTCCATGTGTTCTTATTGCTCAGCTCCCACTTGTAAGTGAGAACATGCAGGGTTTGGTTTTCTGTTCCTGCATTAGTCTGCTGAGGATAATGGCTTCCAGCTTCATCCTTGTCCTTGCAAAGGACATGATCTCATTCATTTTTATGGCTGCATTGTATTCCATGGTGTATATGTGTCACATTTTCTCTATCCAGCATATCATTGATGGGTATTTTGGTTGATTTCATGTCTTTGCTATTGTGAATAGTGCTGCAATGAACATATGCATACATGTAATGTATCTTTATAATAGAATGATTTATACTCCTCTGTGTATATACCCAGTAATGGTATTTCTTGGTCAAATGGTATTTCTGTTCTAAATCTTTGATGAATCACCATACACTCTTCCACAATCATTGACCTAATTTACATTCTCACCAACAGTGTCTATTAAATACAGCACACTGATGAGTCCTGTCTTTTTGTCCAGCTTGCCATTCTGTGTCTTTTGATTGGGGCATTTAGCCCATTTATTTTATGGTTAATATTTGTATGTGTGAATTTGATCCTGTCATCATGATGTTGCCTGGTTAATTTTGCAGACTTGTTAATGTAGTTGCTTCACAGTGTCATTGGCCTGTGTATTTTAGTGTGTTTTTATAGTGGCAGCTAACAGATTTTCCTTTCGATGACTATTGTTTCCTGCAGGACCTCTTTCAAGGAAAGCCTGGTGGTGACAAAATCCCTCAGCATTTGCTTGTCTGAAAAGGATTTTATTTCTCCTTCACTTATGAAACTTAGTTTGGCCAGATATGAAATTCTGGGTTGGAAATTATTTTCTTTGTGAATGTTGAATATCGGTCCCCAGTCTTTTCTGACTTGTAGGGTTTCTGCTGAGAAGTCCACTTCTTCAGCAGAATGGGCTTCTGATGGGCTTCCCTCTGTAGGTGACCTGGCCTCTCTCTCTGGATGCCTTAATATTTTTTCCCTTCATTTCAACCTTGGAGAATCTGATGATTATGTTTCTTGGGATTGATCTTCTTGTGGAGTATCTTACTGCGGTTTTCTAAAATTCCTGAATTTGAATGTTGACCTGTCTTGCTAGGTTGGGGATGTTCTCCTGGATGATATCCTGAAGTGTGTTTTTGATTTGGTTCCATTCTCCCCATCTCTTTCAGGTACTTCAATCAGTCATACGTTTGGTCTTTTTACATAGTCCCATAGTTCTTGAAGGTTTTGTTCACGCTTTTTATTTTTTTCTCTAGTCTTTTCTACCTGCCTTATTTTAGCAAGATAGTCTTCAAGCTCTTATACTCTTTCTTCTGCCTGGTTGATTTGGCTATTGATACTTGTGTTTGCGTCATGAAGCTCTCATGCTGTGTTTCTCAGCTCCATCAGGTCAATTGCATTCCTCTCTAAAGTGGTTATTCTAATTAACAGTTCCTGTAATCTTTTATCATGGTTCTTAACTTCTTCGCCTTGGGCTAGAACATAATCCTTTAGCTCTGCAAAGTTCATTATTACCCACTTTCTGATGTCTACTTCTGTGAGTTCACCCATCTCAGCTTCAGTCCTATACTGTGCCCTTGCTGGAGAAGTGTTGAAATCATTTGAGGAGAAAAGGCATTCCAGCTTTTGCAATTTTCAATGGTTTTGCATTGATTTTTCATCATCTTTGTGGATTTATCTACCTTTAATCTTTGAAGCTGTTGACCTTTGGATGGGACTTTTGTAGGGTCTTTTTTGTTGATGTTGTGTTATTGTTGCTTTCTGATTTTTGTTTTTCCTCTAACATTCAGGCCCCTCTTCTGCAGGTCTGCTGCAGTGTGCTGAGGGTCCACTCCAGACACCGTTCACCTGGGTATCACCAATGGAGGCTGCAGAACAGCAAAGAGTGCTGCCTGCTCCTTCCTCTGGAAGCTTCTTCCCAGAGGGGCACTAACCTGATGCCAGTTGGAACTCTCCTGTATGAGGTGCCTGGCAACCCCTGTTGAAAGGTCTAACCCAATCAGGAGGTCCGGGATCAGGAACCCACTTAGGGAAGCAGTCTGGCTATCCTTTAGCAGAGCTAGTGCACTGGGCTGGGGGAATCCCCCTTGTCTGGATCACTGATACTCTTCAGAGCCAGCAGGCAGGAAGATTGAGTTAGCTGAACCTGAGACCACAGTAACCCCTATCCGCAGGTGCTCTGTCCGAGGGAAATGAGAGCTCTGTCTGTAAACTCCTGGCTGGAGTTTCTGGCATTCCTGCAACGATTTCTTGCCAGGCGAGGAGGGATGGATCTCGGTCCCACCTAAAGAAGCAGTCTGGCCATAATCTGCCACAGTGGCTGTGCTGCACTGTGAAGACTTTTGCCCAATCCAATCTGCCCAGCCTCCATAGCACTGGTAGGGGAAAACGGCTGACAAGATCTGCAGTAATGGCAGTCGCCCCTCCTCTGTGGAACTCGGTCATCTTTGGCCCACTCCAGACTGCTCTGCTGGCTAGAGGGGATGCTAATCCAGTGGATCTAAGCTTGCAGGCTTCTGTGAGAGTGGATCTGCTGAGCGAGGCCATTTTGCTCCCTGGCTTCAGCCCCCTTTCCATGGGAGTGGATGGGACTCTGCCTCACTAGAGTTCTGGGAGCTGCTGGACTATGTAAAAACTACTGCAGCTCAGTCAGTGCCTGCCCAAACAGCCGCCGACCAGAACAGCAGACCTGGGTCTGCCCAGTTTTGTGCTGAGACCGAAGGCCCTGATAGTGTACACTCACGAGGGGAACTCCTGAACCCTGGATTGCAAAATCCTGGAAAACACAGTAGCCCGGGAGGGCAACACAGTTCCTCACTGTCTCCCTTGCCTGAGGGAAGGAAGTCCCTTTGTCCCATGTAGCTCCTGGGCGAACTGCCACCCCACCCTGCTTTTCTTTGCTTTCTGTGGGTTGCACCAACTGCCTAGATAGTCCCAATGAGAGGACTTGGGTACCTCAGTTTAAAATGCAAACATCACTCGCCTTGTGTGTTTTTCTCTGTGGGAGCTGCAGACTGGAGCTGTTTCTACTTGGCCATCCTCGCCTTTTTCTTTCTCCTTTTACTAACTGTTCTTCCAGATATATCACCTTTGTAAAATCAAACATTAATTCTACTATAGCCTGAGCTTCCTTCTACAAGCAGCTTTCATTGAGGGGATATCAAAAAGCAAAGGTGAACTTTCACCCTCAGTAAAAATTAAATGTTATGGCCATCTTAGGTAGTAAAAGGAAAGCATGCCGGGGAGTAGACCACAGGGTTCTTGCAGCACTATCTCCAATAAAAGGTTAAGACCACAGGGAGACAGAGAGGGGAAGACATCGTGACAATTCATCAACACAGTTTAAGCAGGAAATATGAACTATTTGGTTAATTCTTATGAGGAAATGAAAGGAGACTTGTTATATTAAACTCCTCCAGGATTTGTTTTATGTGATCAGAGAAAGAAAAACTGACAGATCAGGAAGAGAAGAGACAGTTGGATAGAAGAAGTTAGAGTGGCCACAGGAAACAAGAAACAGGCTAAGGTGTCAAACCACAGGACAATGTTTTATCATTTTTTTTTCACCACGTCAGAAACTAAATTCCAGTAATTGCATGCCAATTTGCTGACGACAAGGCACTTTAAACAGAGAAATGAGCCTGGAAGTCTGAACGGCAGTTTCACAATCTGTAATTACATGTTTCCGCCCTTTACAATAAGGAAAGACATAGTTTACTTTCATTTTTGAGTCTGAGGCTCTTTTCAACGCTGTAGAAAAGGACAGAGGCTGTTAACTATGGCGGGTGAGTCCTTTTCTGACTAGCAGCTTGGGAGTAGGATCTTAGAAAACACTTGATTTATTGCTCTGTAATAAACACAAGAAACGAAGTGAGCCACTAGCACACATTCTGAATTCCTTTTCTAACTGATTGTGTGTAGTTTGAATCGTGGGACCTGTTGTTAGAGAGATCATATGTTTTCCAGATGTCTTCTAGCCAGAAAGAAGTTAATTCTTTTCTTTTAGTTTCTGGTAATCATTCTTTTCTTTTAGTTTCTGGTAATCAAAGGGAGGGTAAAGAAAGCCAGAGGAAGTTATTTGTGTGTTCTAGAAGTTTCAAAATGCATTCTGAAATATTTCTTTTGATTCCAAATTAATTGCCCAGATCATAAACCTTTCTCCCAGAATCAGATCTGAGAGCCTCTGAAGTGTTACCCTCTCTGACATCTCTTATTGTGAATTACATTTTTTCTCTGTTTAAAGTGATTCAATTTTTCCCCTTTCTCTTTGTTCCTGGTACTGACTACTTTAATATAATATTTCATGGATTAATATCACTGTTGTTTTGTTTTGCTGTTGTTGTCGTTTTTAACTGATCTCCTTCTCTCCAGGACTTAACTCTCCAATCCATTCTGCACACAACTTTCAGGTCATCTGTCTTATACACAGAAGCTGGAAAAGCCTAAGGGATAGAGTCATGAGTTACTTAGGCAGCTAGTATTCCAGCAGGTAATATGCTTCTTTGGCTTCATTCTCCTCGTAGGCAAAGGGAGAAATTGGACTAGATCAGTGGATTCTAAACCTTCTAACATATCACAGTAATCTGTAGTCATATAAAAAAGTCAGATGACTACCCCCTTTCTTACCGTGAATAGCTCAATCTTAAATACCCTGCAGGCATTTATTACCTTTGAAGATTGTCACATAATTCTTATGAAACTGAGTTGACATAGGTTTGTGTACAGATTAGTGTTATTAGGAAAGTTGACCAGTTAGTTAACACTCTCTGCTTACCTGCTAGTGATCTATTAATGTAATTAATTAACTTTGCTCAGGGACATACAGTGGCTCCCTATTGCCTTTTTAAAAAAATATTTGAACTTTCAGACAAGTTCTTCTACCTTTTGAAACATGTGTATCCATTTTTTCCGCTAATCTTTGTAAAGCATGATTTCAGCTTCAGAAAAAAATACTGTATTTACTTCACTTATATTACCTTGTTGTTGAGTTTCTTTACTCCTTTGATTCTCCCTGTAGAACAATTCTCTCCGAGGTTTATGTCTCACTTCACAACATTTAACTTAAGCTCCGGAATCAAGGGATCATTAGATAAAGATAGGGGAAATTGAAAGCCACTAGTCAAAAACAAGTCGTGGTTTGATAATTATAAACAACCAAATGTAGTCAGTTATTGCTACCTTAAACTCCTGAGGAATTGTATCCTATAATATGTTTAAGTATTACTTCACTTTACCTGGAACCAAAACTGTGGTACTGATGAGTTTTTCCCTCTAATTGATTCCTTCCATTTTTATTATCACTGCTGCTTTCATTCAGTGATTATAATAACAACAAAAAAAAATTCTATAGTAACTGTCTCTTTAAAAAATACTTAGCGTATGATAGCTATTTCATGCACTCTCTCTGATTTAATATTTAAAATCAATGAACACAGTTGTGCTATTATTGCCATATTATAGTTGAAGGGGATACTTAGAGAATGCCTTCAAAATATGCTTTAGGTCAAAAGTCTGTTAGGAGGAGTGGTCTCAGGTGGGCATGACTCTCAAACTCTGCCATTACTCTACCTTTCTGCAAACATCTTCAAATACTTGCCCTGTCTCTGATCACTCCCACTTCAGTCCTGGCTTCATATTTCTATTTTTTCTAAAGCCCAGCTCTTCCAGTTTTCTGGTTACACCAGACACCCGCACGTCTTTGTGCTTCTTTCTTCACTGCTCTCTGCCAAGAGACCAGCCCCTAGTTTTCCAAGGGCCAAATTCCTACCAGTCCTTCAGGTCTCAGTGCCAAGCCCTGCCTTCTCTGGAAAGCTATCTTCTACCTGAGTCACACTTTGCTTATGCTTTTCTTGAGCTTCTGCTAATGATTTACATTCTTAAAATATTTTTCATTTTACTTATTTGCATATCTATTTTCCCACTTGACTGCAAACTTTAAAGTGTACAAACATGCTTCAAAAGTGGTACTCCCAATACTAGCAGAGTAAGTTTCAAGAATTTATGCTGATTAAATGTACCTGAATGGACAGGGGAATGAACACGCCTTCCTTCTGCTGAAACGTCCAATATGCAACTATCGTCTGTTAAATGAAATCAAACTTACCTGATTTGCTATTAAGAATTTGTAATCGCCAGGTGGGTTCACCTTGCCCACTGCTTAGACAGAGCCAATTTATAAAGACAGGGGAATTGCAATGGTGAAAGAATAATTCACACAGAGTCGGCTGTTCGGGAGACGGAAGTGTTATTATTACTTAAATCAGTCTCCCTGAGCATTCAGAAATCACAGTGTTTAAAGATACTTTGGCAGGTAGGGGCTTGGGAAGTAGGGATTATTGATTAGAATCATAGGGTGTCAAAGTGAGGTTTTCTTGCTGTCTTCTCTTCCTGGGTACGATGGCAGAACTGGTTGGGTTAGATTACTGCTCTGGGTGGTGTCCCCAGTTGATCCATTGAGTGCAGTGTCTGAAAAATATATTAAGTGCTGATACTAGGTTTTAAAAAGTGATATTATCCCTGGGAGCACAAGGGGGACGTTCCGACTCTAGGAGCCAGAAGCTGCATGAGTAATTTTTAAATAGTAATTTTTAATCTTGTAGCTAATTTGTTAGTCCTGCAAAGGGAGACTGGACCCCACGCAAGAAGAGTGTTTTCGAGAAAAGGCTGTTACCAGTTTTGTTTCAGTCAAACCATGAACTGAATGTTCGGCCTATACCCAGGAATGAATAAGAACAGCTTAAGGGATAGAAGCAAGATAGTGTCGGTTAGGTCTTATTTCTTCACTGTTGCAATTACCTCAGTTATAATTTTGCAAAGGCATTTTCAATCCCTCCGTTTGGGTTTTCTAATAGCTTAATCTGAAGGTGTAGGCTATGAAGATGGGAAAAGGCCATCGATCACTCTGGCTTCTTCCTGCTGACAGGGGACATGGTGGAAATTAGAGTGAACCTCAAGGTGAGAAGAATGGAACCACTTTGCAATTGTATGAGCACACTCATGCAGGACTGACTGGGTTTCCAATGCTTGCAATGCAAAAACATTAGTACGCTCCTCTGTAGTTTTACTGTGATATTTAAGCCAATAGCCTCCTGTAAGGTAAATAACAAATCCTAGGATGAAGAGGACAATTCTCAATTTTAAAAGCAAAGATTTGAAAGCATTAATTTGGGGACTTCTAATCCACAAAGAATTTAGGATTTAGTCCAAACTGTAGAAAAAACTCAAGGACAACTAACAACAGATGTATTTATATGTTTTCTTTTGAAGCATAATTTTTCTCTCCAGATCCCATTTTTATTAAAAATAAATTATGATAGAACTAATGTGTTTACCAAAATAAGTTTTAGTCTTATTGTACTTGGCCTGACTATTTGCATAAAGTGCAGTAAGAATAATTATTTTTTATTTAAGCTGTTTATTGTTTAAATTGGCTTTCATGGAACTCTGTTTCATGAGGAATCTCAGATAAGACTTTTTAAGAGCCGATCCCAGCCACACATTTGTACCCTTAAATACCTATGGGTTGGGTAAATTCCTTTTCTCTCAAGGTCCCAAGATAACCTGGAGCTCATGAACCTGTTAGAAAGTGATATTCTTTACTTACTACAGATCAAAAACCTTGTACAAGGACTCTGTGTAGACAAGGTATGAGGCCAGATTCCCCAAAGGGCTTTTATTGACTGTATAAATCAACTTTGATTCTTTAAGGGAAGTGTGCCATTCCAGTCAAAGCCTTGGTAAAATAACCAATTTTTCCAATTGTGTCGTGTTACAAAAGAAAACAGATTTTTATTGTACTTACGGAATTAACCATGTTGCCATAAGTTTCCAAATTCTGGAGAAATCAGGTAGAGAGAAACAAATATGCTTCAAAATTTTTTCACAGCAGTGTATTTTACCTACTTGTTAAAAGTTGCAAATATCTCTAAAGAAATAAGTTATCTTGACTCTGAAAACAAAAGGATTGGTAACTTTTAAGACATCAGCTCTCCGTAAGAGTCCTGGAAGTTTCATTTTTTTCCTATATTCCAATAGCACAATTTTTAAAGTTATCTGAGACCTGCACTCAGAGTCCTATATCTGATTATTTACTGCCTTTTGAAAAGGACCAAAGCAAGACAAAATGTCTGTGGATGACAAAAGTCTATAGACCCTATTAAAGCCATAATCAACTAGGAATTTTGCTTACTTCTGTGGCATCCAACAATTTTTACATAACAATAATTACTAATAATGTACACTAAATAATATTAGAATTATAGAAGTTAATATAAATACACAGAAGACAGAAAATTCAGTACTTGAAAGATTTTTTATTTGCCAGTTGTTAACCGGATTACTGGCTTCAGAGGGAAGCCCTCGGAGGAACGAGGCCAGAAAAGCATGCATTTTTTTCTGAGCCAAATAAGCAGCCACGGCTGAAGGCAAAGACAGATCTCCAAAATGAAGGGTGCCATTTTATACTGAACCCTTGATCCCCAAAAGGAGGGAAATATTACTGGAGAAGAGAGAACAGTGCTTCTAACCTGCATTTTATTGCAAGGCAACCTAAAGCCAATCAGCCCATTTTGAAATCAGGCCATCCCCGAAGGAAGTCTCATCTCTCAGTCAGTTATGGGGATGTTTCCGTATCTTCCAGGTGGCCCGGAGCATGCTTCTCTGATTCAAGTGTGCAAAGAGCCAAGTATCCCTCTGAAAATACTATTAGCCATCCCTTAAAGTATATTTCCTACCTAGTTATTACATACCAAAGCTCTCTCATAATGCAAAGTAATTTCTGATATCC